ACATTACAGAAAATATATTTAAATTTATACCTGAGAATTCACATCAACATGCTATAAAGATGCACACGCTTGTTGAGTTTCGGTAAATTGTTCATCTTCGGAAATGTGAAGAGGATGAGTTGCCAAACGGAAATTAGCAAATGTTTTTATTCTAGCTATTGGATAGTTTTCATCCAGTTATGGAGCATTTGCCATGATGCACTTGCTTGGGTTTTCCTTCTTATATACAGAAAAAAAACTACAAATAGCAGCATAATTATATTGCAGTTCAAGTGACTGAAACAAAATTACCATTATTCTACATCTTAACCCATTCACGCCGGGTGTCCCATATATGTGACGGGCCCACTGTGAGTTTACTTGTTTAATTGTTTTTACACATAGATGGCTGCACTTGTACTTGTACTGCCTGTCTCGCCTGTTTACCCTTTTCTTTAATTTACGAAAATATTATACTTTATCTTACTTTGCTGTTACTAACATTATAGTAATTATACTGTTTATAATAAAAATAACCATCGATATTCATTGTACTAGTAAAAATACATTTTCCCGCCAAATGAAATCAGGTAAGGCAGAGCCATCTAGTGTAGAAAAATTTCATAAAAAGTATAAGAAATGAGCACAGAATTTTCCCCCGTTTTTTGTTCATTTTTACCCGGCGCGAATGGGTTAACAGTGTAATTTAGTACTTTTTAAGGTTAACATCTAGTTAAGTAAATACTTTTTTAGACCGAAATGTTTTGCTGATTGCTGTGAACTATTTGATCTTTCGAGAGGACCAGTGAAGAGGTAGAGAAGGCAGCCAGTTTAACCATGACAACAGTGCCCTGTCTGCAACCCTGAAGATGAGAAGACTGAACCCTTTGGAGCTGCTCCCAATCCAATTCAGGACAAGACTCCCCTCCCCTCTCCATCTCTGGCCGAGCCCACATGTAGAGCTAAAAGTCCACGCAGGTGGAGCCAAAATAGGCCAAGCACTAACGGAGGCCAAGCCAAGTAGAATTTCACTCTCAAGTTGAAAAAGGAATGAAAGCCAAGACCTAAGAAAGTAAGGACCGTATTACTTCCCCCATGTCTTCAGCAAGGAACGTGCCGAAAAAAGTAATGGAAGGTAATTTAAAAGTAACCCGACCATTAAACTCACATAGCATTGGAAATAAGCTGATGGAACACGGATGTGCTTCCATCTGAAATTAGTCTCTGCACGTTAGTAAATTGTCATCACAAGGTTTGATTTTAGGTTACATATGCAACGTTGCTAACCAGTCTCATTTATAGAATAGGATACGAAGTGGGGAGGTGGGTAAACTCATCTTCAATTTTGTTGTTTGCGAGAACTGAAGGGTGCATTTTGCAAAATGTTTTACTGCATAATATATATCATTTTAATACAAAGAATTCAGGAAATTAAAAGTAAATTGCCTGTTGTCTGTGAGATTGGATTGCTTCAGATTTTCATTTAGCCTTAGGTGTCATTTGTTGCCGTAGGGGGGGGGGAGACGGAGACGGAGACTGTGACCCAATGCTGGGGATCACCCCTACCTTGGGCCTCAGCCTTCGACGCAACTAATTTTGACAGTCTTTTCTTCTCGTTTCCGTTTCTTTCTCCTTTACAACCCCTTCTACCATCCATCTCCTTATGTGTGAGGGCCGTGTTAAAGTATTCCCATTTAGTTGTCTAATCCTTACAGCTCAAGGTGACCCTGAGGGATATATAATTTTTCTCCCCAACATACTCCTGGCTTATCAT